AAAGAAAAAGCATGGAGCCTATGCAGATGTCGGTTTCCAAGTTTAAAAAATGTATGCATCCCATTGTCATACATCCAAAAATTGGATTTAAATTTGGAAATTAATTTAAAAAATAAATAAATAAATAAGGTACTCTCTCACTTATCTCGCATACATCCCGCCATAACAGAAAATCTTGTACACCTAGAACAAAAATTTGCACAGACAATACAACCTATTAATTGGGCCCACAACCAAAAGTGATAAATTAAAATATTAAAAGGATAATGATCTGTCATATGAGTTGGAAAGGGACTTCCTACCAAAGAAGATGATAGCATAATTAATAGTATAAGTTAATGAGGTGTTGATATATTTATAGCATCATTTATTCGTTAGAATGACATCATCCGATGTATGTGTCTCGGAGATAATTGCATGCGTGTAGAATAGANTATAAACAATCTAATTAATTTGTTTAACAAAATAAAAATTAATAATTCTATAATATAATTATATGTGCAAATATCTAAGNTCATCCGATGTATGTGTCTCGGAGATAATTGCATGCGTGTAGAATAGAGTTGACAATCGATCATTTATTGGTTAGAATGACATCATCCGATGCATATGTCTTGGAGATAATTGCATGCGTGTAGAATATAGTTGACAATCNAACAGATTTGATACTTAAAAACTTATAAAATAAATTAATAATTCAATTTAGTAATAATTATAATACAGATTAATTATTTGACACTTAATTTATTATTTAATTTAATTATGCATATAATTCCCATTTTTGATTAAAAAAATATTATTTAAATTTTTTTATGTGTAACGAACGTCGTGCATTGCTAGTACTTATAAATGTCAGCATCTGTGAAAAAATTTTANAATTAATTATGTCAAATGTTCTAACTTTGGTCTATTTAATGTTGTTTCGTGTTTGGTTAGCCCATATAAGCCTAAATAAGACATGCAGGACTAAAACGAGAATTTCTCTGAGCTAAACTTATAACTCCTAGTTTATGTCATAAACTAAAAATTCATTAAATTCACCTAATCACAAATACAACTAAAAAATCTCTCAATTTATAAGGATTTTATGTTAATACCCAATAAAAAGTGATAAAAAAATACATATTTTATTTATACAGTAATAATTAAACATGTTTATCGGATCTTAAAATTTGAATTATTCGTGTTTTATACTAATTCGACTAATTTATTATTCATGTTGGGGTANTCTATATTTATATAAAAAAATAAAGTTCAATCTATATTCAATTATTTTATAGTCCAATATATGATATAGTTCATTCTTTGGTATATAATAATATCATATTATGATACAAACAATAGTATTACAATTTAATTAATTTTTTTGGCAAAAACTATAATAAATTTATAATATAATTAGATGTGTAAATACTCAATAATGATAATCTTACAATAAAGGTTCATTATAAACAAAAAANGGGGTAAATCATTTTATGGGTGGTGTAGAAAATTATTCAATTCTAACCCATTAATTTCATTTGGAATTAGCTGTAATCCATACAATGCAAGGACAAATATAAACTTCTAAATATATCATATTCGCCCTCATTCTAACAGTGGAATCAAGCAAACACATTCAATAGTCATNAGGTTTGATAATAATTAAAATAAAAATTGCTTAAAACTACATAGTTTATTATTTAATTTAACTATAAATAACTTAAATTTTTTATAAAAAATATTATTTAAATATATTTATGTGTTACGCACGCCGTGCATGGTTAATATTTTCAAAATGAAAAATGGATGGTGAGAAATTAAGACAAACCATAAATAAATTATAAACTGATTAAAAAAACCAGAAAGAATATCGACAATGTGAATCTTGACACTAATCATCGACCTTTATGGCGTGGACCATCCAATCGTAATTTATTATAGCAAGCAAATAAAAAAAATGTTTTTTGTACGAAACTTTTTCTAGAGTTTGGTAACAAAGCAATTCAATTGTATATTACTATATTATGTGAAAAATAATTTGCATATCTTTTTTCTTGGAATAGGAGACAACATTAAAATAACATAGTCTTTCCGGGGGCGGTGCGAGACTATTTTTCTGGTGGGGGCAACTTTAAACATAAAAATACTCACTCTAAATATCAATATTATTTTCATAAAAGTATGATTTCATTAAAAAAATACCAATTAACGATACAATCCATATTTCCGAGTGATATACAAAAGAAGCCAACCAAAAAAAAAAAAAACCTCATTATATGCAAATTTTTCATTGGTATTTTCTCTTAAGAAACTTATTCCTTGATAATTCAAAAGTTAATTTATTAGCAAACGCAGACTTAGTATCCATTATTTAACCCCAATTAATTAAAAGACTTCAGAAAAATTAACCAATTTTTACCATAAATAATTTAGAAAAATTAAATATACAATAAGTCTAGCCAATCAAACTTCG